GCTGAAAGTCACAAAGAAGAAGGGGGAGATAGAAAGAAGTATCTCCGCCGAGGAACGGGCTGTTGAACAGTTTCAAGCCAATCCGGTTGGAACAGTAAGGGTCAGGATGGAAGAACGAGCGCCACAGGCGATGCAAAGCGTTGAAAAGACAGGGATCGATGCGATCCTCACGGGGGAATCAAAGGGGAGGTATTAAGTCAAGAATGAGCGGGAAAGCAAACAAGAGAAATGAAATGGTCTAGTCGACCACCTGGCAGTAGAGTTGAATCTCTCCCACCAAACCCTTGGAGAGCATATCACGATGTTGTTCCCGCCACTCCATAAAAGCAAGCTGGACTGCCTCATCACTATCGATCGTGACGAAATCACCATCTTCGTCGCGGTAGCGCAGTCGAACGGTTTTGCTCCCGATGGATCGATCGGTGAACCGAGCGAGTTTGGCATCCACGCGGTCCGTCAATGAACGGAACAAAATGTTGGTCGCGATTACCAGCGTAACATAGTTGTCCTCAAAATTCACCTTGGCCTTGAGTTGAGTTGGCATGTAGTCTCCTTCCTCTAGCGGCTCTTGGGTCAAAGGCGAGGTGGCATGATCAGAGATTTGCCCAGAATTACGGTTATCGTTATATTCTGGCTCGTTGAAATGCGTGGTGTGGAGTTGGGGCTGGGTACGAATGGGGAGCTGATTGTTGGTAGGCGAACCGTTCTGGCTACGGTTGACGGGGGCTTTCATGTTGGCCATGTGCGCAGGAATCGGTGGCACGGGGACGTTGTCAACTGTCTGCATAGTGTGCACTCCCATGTAACGCCGTGACTCGGGATTGTTATTGTGGTGGTGAATATCAGGGCTACTAGCCGATCGCATCCGTTGGGTCATGCCATTTGCAGAGTGAGCTTGCGGGCCCGAAAGTGGAGGCAATGACGGGCGCTGAGCACCTCTTCCAGGAGGCTGAGGTGGGAAATATCCGCCAGAGGTCGACCCTTCTCGCGATGTGACACGAGACAACGCTGGTGCTGTGTAGCGGAGGGATTCCTCATTCCAAACCGAGGATGGGGTGGTGGAATTTGTATTCTGACGACTGAAAGAAAATCCAGCGGATTGAGAACTCGATCTCGTGGAAGGAGTCTCCGCCGTGGGGGAAAAGTAGGAACTCATATTCCGATCACCAGGGGACATGCTTCCGTTGCCGGGGAACTGAGTGTGCACCGAAAGCGTGGGATCGGTTCCTGCATAGCGTGGTCGGGTGTTGGGGTGAGGAACAGAGGTGGTGCTGCCACCGGTGGCAGATCGGGTTCTCAGACTGGTACTGGATGCATTTCGGCTCATTGGGAATTCGGAATGATATGCATCTTTGCTGTTGGCGTCATCGGTATCATACTCTTGTTGATAGGGGTTGGGCATATGCGCCATGCCCTCCATGTATGTAAACTCGCTGTCGGATGTACCAGTATTGCGCAAAGTGCGTCTCTCCGCTTGGATCGCCCGTTGGGTATCAATGTCCTTGTACCAATTCCGCATGGTGTCTTCATTTACATATCGGATGATGAAATTATCGACGACACCAGGGTCTCCTTTCCAGAAAATCTGAATACGGTAGAGTCCTGTTGGGATCAATTAGAGGCATGTTTTTTTTTAACCCCGCAGGCCAAGAGTCGTGCTTACCAGGCTTTTGAAGGCAAACAATATCTGTGACATTGGCCATGTAGATTCGACCCTTCAATTGAAGACGAGCCTTTCCTTTCGCATTCAAAGACGGCTTATCTTTTTGCATCATAAGCTTGGACTTTTGCTTGTTGGGATTGATATCTTTGCAACAGAGAAGTATGCGCTCGAAGAGATAGATATGGTACTGAGGGCAATGTCAGTAATGTGCCATTTCGGGGAACCAAAAAGCATAAGACACATACCTCTCTCTCACTATCCTTTCCACTGTCTCCCTTGACGACTTGGAAAGTGCCAAATCGAAGAAGGTCTCCGAATGACTCCATCTTCAGTGCTTTCCAGTCATCCACGCGCTCAGACAGATCAACTACGGCCGCAGCCAAGTGTTCTTTGTGGATTGCCTCGTTGGCAAAGTCCAACACATTCTGAATACAATTGACTGCATGCGTGATATCAGCCTGGAGTTGCTCGTCTTCTAATTGTTTGCGTAGCTCCTGAGAAGGACACCCTCAATATTAGCTCGTTAATCCTGAACATAGCATTTAGCAAACTTACCAAGAGCATCAGCGGGTATCGAGTCAGACGCTGGAAAGGTTTCACGAAGAATCCATTGAGCGTTTTCGGCTGAGCGACCATTTGTTGCAGATCTATATGGCGTGGCGCACTTTGGATTTTGTCCCATTCTTTCATACAGGCTTCGTCACAACGCATCTGATTGGCAATGAAAGGCTCATACTGGCGGAAAGCATCCTCATGCAGGAAGAAAAGTTGACCCCAGTTCTGCATTTCTTCTGGCAGGGCGTAGTGCTGTTCCATGCGAATCAGGAACCGTTGGGCAAAGTCTAGCAAGTTGTTTAAGTTGAGGAAAATCTGATGGCTCGCATCGCCTGTCAAAGCACCCGTCTCTTCCAGTTCCTTTTTGAGCGCTTGGAGATTCTGCAGGTGATGAACATAGTCACGCTCCGTCTCCAGAAGTTCCTTCAGAATATGCTCTCGCTTGGTAAGCTTCACATTGGCCTTCGCGGAGGGAGCCTCTAGAAATTCAGATTGCTTCAATTGGCCTTGCATCTCGAGGATGTCCACCACACGGTTGACCATTTTGATCACTTTGATAAACCCGGTGGTACTCTCGCCGTAAAGGTCAGTGATCAAAAAGCAATCCTGTTGAGGAAATTCCAGCTCTTGTAAACAGGCCTGTAGGAACTTGAATGTCGCCGCTTTGGGACGCTTTGCCTCAGTTACCTTGCCAGTATCAATTTCTAGTGGTTCCTCAGGACCAGATGCATTATAAATGCTCAACAGTGGATAGCCATCTCTGAGGCAATTCCACAAGGAAGCCACCGGGTCTGTATTTCCTCTTATGCGATCATCATCATCCATCTCTTGCAGGTATGACTCAAAGTTGGGAACTTCGGATAGCCGCCTCCTCAGATTGACACAACTTTGGTAGATCGATTCACCACCGCGACGGTTGATGATGTTATCTTCGGCGACCGGAGCGCCGCTCATGGCTGAAGAGTCAATCATATCGGATTTCCTCGAGGGCCAGATATAGATAAGTTAGACCAGCCAGGCTCAACTTAAATCTGCACAGCAGACCCAAGAGGGATAGGTTCGGAGGGATCGACGAGCGTCGGAGGTAGAGAGATGACGATCATGAGTTCCCCGGGTGGGTGTGAGCTGCGCGGCGCAGGGAGAATGTCAAATAGGGGTTTCGGTCCAAATTCCGGAAACCAACAGCGATACGATCGATTCTCGGTCGCAGGCGTGATTGTTTTAGATGCGTATCCCGGGAAGCGCCCTCGAAACCAGAGACAACAGGTGATAAATATAAGTGTATATGTTTGAACCAATAGCACGGATATCAAATACGACGCACCGTCACTTTCTGGAAGAAAAGGAGGGGCTCGAGTTATATATTCCGACCTGCAGCCAGTCCCAATCGATGGGGTGTGTGGATTCAGGTGTGTTGAATGACTGCTGCAACCGGGCAGACGAGTCAAATCAGGTTAAAGAGAGTTCGGAGGAACACCTTTGCGAAAAGGTAAGTCACTAGGACTCAGCGGAGGACAATCGACGTCCCGAGAAAAAGGGGGGCGCACGGAATGGTAGAATAAGAGAAGCCCAAAAACAAGACGGACTCGGCAGGTTAAATGAGGCCAAGAACCAAAACGACAAGAGCAAGCACAACAGACAAGAATTCTGCTGATGAAACAGAAGAATACGATCCTTGGAGAGAGGGTGAGCCGAAGGAGTCTGTTCAGTTGCCTCAAAGGGTTTAGCGTGTGTTTTATGGGGCGGTGTGATATAGAGAGGGGCAGTTGGCTTTTGCTTGTGTCAGCAGCCCTTCACCCCGGCCTAACCTTGGAAGGCCTTGGGGCTGGGTAATCCAAGACCCTGATTTTGGGCTGGAGGACTGAAATGCAGGAAGGCTGGAGAAGAGAGCGGTACTCCATACTGATGTTGGAGAATTCATACCCATGCATAGTACTCCGTACAGTAGTACATTTTATATAGAGTTCGCATACAAAAGGTACATCCACTAAACTAGATAGGGAAATATATACATACTCAATAACTAGGTAGTTATTAGAATATTTCTGCTCTAGAACATTATTATCTCCTCCAGAATAGTACTAGTACTCTCCCCCCCCGGACTAACTAGATAACGAGTTAGTTAACTATGGGGTATGCCCTCTAACCGTAGGCTATGGGACAGCCTACATACTACAAGTTACTTCCTAACATACTTCTACAGCAACACAATGGTATGTGAGACATGGAGGAATGAATGGACCCTATTCTTTGATTGATATTTCCATTCTCTTTGTCAATAACCCACTTTTCTCAATAATCAATAAGCAAGCTATAGACGCAACCCACGTGACTCACAAAGGAAACAATGTACCTATTCATCTATTAACGCGCGCCTACATATTCATTCTGGAAGGTTACTTCGAGTGATGGGCTCTTTATGATCTGTGTATTTAAATTCTGAAATTCCTTTTTTTTTTTTTTTCTTCTTTTTTCTTCTGATTTAAATTGAATTTCTCGGATTCTCCATTTTTATTTTATTCCCACTTTGCAACTGCGATAATTGCGCTCTATCAATCAGGTGGGCCTTGTCTCGCCTTGTCTCGCTCAAACGTGACGTGACTTGCACCGAGATCAATCCATCTACTCAACCTCCTTCCCTTTCCCAACCCTGTTCTCATTTATTACTTTTCTACAATCACTCCAAGGCTTAAAATTTCCTACCCTTTCGCAGCCATCGCACAACCCCATTAATCTCGGCGACCCATCAGCTCGGTGCAGACCCCTCTGAAGACCCGCATCAATGGAGGGTGAGCCCTTGCCCGGTGCCCCCGATGCTCCCGATGCTCCCGATGCTCAAGCCCCTCCTACGCTGCAATTGAAGACAACTACAGTCCCCGAGCTCTCCGCGCCTTCTCTGTCACCCTCGTTTAGGCTAGATGAAGGCTATTCGGATGATACTCGAAGTCAGGCCGATAAAGATCTGGGATCGGACAATGTCATGGCACTTCCAAATTGGGTGCTCGCCCAGTCCGAGGCCGGCAGAGCTGGTAAGATATCCCTTTCCCTTTCCCCCTGTGGTGATTACTATGAGCGCGCAGCATTCGCTTCGTTTGCTTGTCGCTTTTGCGATTTTCCTTGTTAACCGACCGTTTCCCCACTTCTAGAGCTCGCATACAGCCTTCTTCGATCTCTACGAACCTCGAACATCGCCGCAGTAGTTGAACGACTTAACCCCATCCTCCATATTGACCCATGTACCAGGCTTCCCCCGGAAATCACAGGGGAGATCTTTACCTACCTCGACGTTCGGACGCTTCTGAATGCATCGCTTGCATCCCGCGAATGGCGTGAACGTATCCTTGACTCGGGTCTGTGGAAATTCCAGTATATCCATGAAGGTTGGGAAATGGACACGGGCGCGATTCGTGCGTTTGAGCAAGAACATTCCGAGGCCATGTCGCCTCAGACCCGGAAGTCCCGCCTACGACACTCGGAACTAGATGTCGGGGAACCTAAGCAGAAAAAGCGCGTGCCGTCAACCTGGCTCGATTCACGAAACGATGAAAACCAAAGACCGACCGTGTTTGACCCTGTTCCACCGGTGGCCGATAGTGAAGGCGATCACCACATGACTGATGATGACGACCAATCTGCACATTCGTTCGTTGATGCCCCAGAGTCCATTCTGCCAACTAATGTTCCCGAATCTTCTTCGCCGCTGTACCCACCTCTACAATCGCAACTTCTCATGCGGGATACCAATGGAAGCGCTAAAGTCAACTATTTCCACGTCTACAAGCAACGTAGGCGCCTCGAAGCAAATTGGCATCAAGGCCGCTATACCAATTTTCAACTTCCTGACCCATGTCACCCAGACGAGGCCCACCGGGAATGCGTTTATGCGATCCAGTTCGAAGGCCGATGGCTAGTCAGTGGGAGCCGAGACAGGACTGTGCGAGTCTGGGACCTGGATACCAAAAGACTGTGGCACCCCCCGCTGGTGGGACACATCAAGTCCGTACTTTGCCTGCAATTTGATCCTCGACCCGAAGAAGACATCATCGTATCTGGCAGCAGCGACAAGTCCATCATCATATGGGAATTCTCCACGGGAGAAATGATTCGTCAAATTGAAAACGCGCATTTCGACTCGGTGCTCAATCTCAAATTCGACCATCGTTACCTTGTAACATGTTCCAAAGACCGAACTATAAAGGTATGGAACCGCCGAGATCTTCTACCAACTAGCAAGGATTATCCGCGTGTCTGCCATGGATCAGGCGCCACATATCCTAGATGGATAGTAGATACCAGCAAAATTGGACCGAGCCTTCTTGAAGCCGGCATTGCAAATGGTACATACGAAACTCTAGAGCCTTACACGTTGCTTATGACTGTGGAAGGACATGGAGCTGCCGTGAATGCAATGCAGATTCATGGTGATGATATTGTGACAGCATCTGGAGACCGAGTGATCAAGGTCTGGAACATCCGCACTGGTGCATGCTCGAAGACCTTGATGGGCCATGAGAAAGGCATTGCATGTGTTGAGTTCGACGGCCGAAGAATCGTCAGTGGGAGCAATGATAACTCTGTTCGCATCTACGATCATGTCACCGGAGCTGAGGTGGCGTGCCTGCGGGCTCATAGTAATCTCGTTCGCACCGTTCAAGCAGGGTTTGGTGATGGTCCAGGTGCCGATGAAACCTTGCGCGGAGAAGTGCAAGATTGTGAAAATGCGTTCTTCGCCGCTCAAGAGGCCGGATTGGACGTTGGCATGGGTCGTCGGGAGCAACGCCGCAATGGCTACCAACCGAACACTACGGGATCACGGGACCCTCGCGATATCCCTGCTCTGGGAGCAAAAATCCCACCCGGTGGTGGAGGTAGTAGCTGGGCCCGTATCGTGTCCGGTTCCTACGACGAGTCAATCTTAATCTGGCACAAAGACCGTGATAACAGGTGGACAGCGGGTCATCAACTGCGACACAATGATGCCGTCACGAACTCTGTTCGTGCGAGCCTCAGCCTACTGGCGCAAACCACTGTTTCTGCCCAGGCTCAACAATTGCAAGCAGCACAGGCTCTGGCGACACTCGGGCAAAATGGCAATGTCGACCCCCAGCAGCTGGTCGCTGGTCGTGACAACCCACCACTTGTGCCTCCTCTGATTATCAACTCTGTGCCAGTCCACCCACCTCCTGTTCACCATCATCACCACCACGGTCACCAACGCAGACCTCAAGGGTCCGCCATAGCTACGAGGGTGTTCAAACTCCAGTTTGACGCACGGAAGCTCATCTGTGCCAGTGTGGACCCTCGCATTGTGGGATGGGATTTTGCCTGCGATGATGAAGATATTATTGAGGCGAGTCCATTCTTCAAGGGCCTTTGATCTTTCTCTCACCTTTACGTCTTTTAATACCAACATTTGCTCTTGTTTTACTTCGGTGCATCGCATCTCCTTGCATCGCCCTTGCTGGGCGTGAATTGCGAACTCTCTGATGAAGAGATGGCTCAATTCACTTGACGACCTTTTATTATTAGCATCCATGCGATCGCGTTGTGTTTTCTTTGCCTGGTGCACTGCTCTTTGCTCTCACGCTTTTCTGTCTCTCTCCCCGGTCACCCCTTGTCCTCTCCTTACCCATCTTCGCAATGTCGTGTCATACATACGATGGGCCCTTGCTTTCCATTTAATGATGTATTTCTTATTTTGACTTCTTTGTTAGGGGTCATTCCTGGCTATCAAGGTGTCATATCTTTTTCGGAGTTTCTTTTCTATCTTTTATTCTTCATTCTCATTGTTATCTTTCCTGCATGGCGCCGGTGTGGCATTTAATCCATATCATTATGACTAGGATCAATGAGAAAGGTTCGACTCAAGACAATCTCCTTTTATATAAAACCACCTCGGCAAAATTGTCTCTTCTCAATTGGAATGTGGGACCCGTGTATTGAAAATTATATGACATAGTCCGCGGTAACTACTTGGAACTTTTTCAGACTCAGAACCTCACTTCCTTTCTCTATATCATTATCGCCACCTAAACCCTAGACTACCACCTCATCGGGCTATATACCCGCTACTCTAATAAGCAGGTAAGGAAACAATCACAGTTCCCAGCGTAGAGGAGAACCACCTCATGTTTGAAGTATGTTGTATGTACCTCCAGGGCTGTAGGGTCTTCCTTCCGAGTAAAAAGGTTCGGTCCGGGATCAGGCCAGCTTCCAATGTTGTGCTGAGACACATCACCAGACAGGCCATACCCCTGGACTCTTCGAGTGATCAGAATCATCCCCGGGTCCGGAAGTCAGACTCCGCTCTCTTTGCCCACTTGGATAGTCCCCAGGGGTCCGGAGTACCCGTCGACCTACCCGTCGACCTATCCAAGTGGATGTCTACTGATCTCGGAGTATTTAGCCCACATACGCAGATCATACCTAAAGGGGTACTCAGTCCCACAGTGCTATATAGTACTCCGTATTGCCGAAAGATCATATAGTTACTCCATAGCAAAATCCAACCCTTAGAAGCTCACAAGAGAAAACGAGGCAAAGGTGCAAGGGCAAGTTCAACAGAGGCCTAACTCTCTTTCTGTTGACGTACCTCTTCGTCGGAACAACCTGGAATGATTCGAAACATCAGGAGTAAGTTCCTGCCAAGAGTTCCGGGGTTTCAACAGAAAATCCCGATCTTGGCATTCAGCGCCAAGGCCGAAAGGGGAGGTTATATTTCCACCAATTTCAGCAGCTTTTCTAGATGGCAGAGTTGGACCCTCCCACGTTGATATCTTCACTTCTCTGTGTGGAGTACTCCGTATGCTCCGGTCTCTTGCTACTTGCGGGTAAACTCCGGCAGAGGTCTTCCAAGGGTCCCCAAACCGACCTCAAGAGCGCTAGCGCGTGGTGGGGTGCGTATAAGGAACCCTAGCATGCTTTAAGAGTGGACCTTCGACAAGGGAATGAATCTAGCTCTTAGCTACATAACTAGATGGGACCATAACTAGATGTCATATCAATCTCCATGGCTTTTTCATAGTTTCTTTCTCGCCTCCCTGATGCAATCGATTCCTTTTCGTAGCCTTCCTAGTCCCAGTAAGCTGTGATATCTATCTTTTATGAAATTATGAAAGCCTGCTAAAAAGAGGTCTAGCCCTTTGGTTGGTGGATCTTTTAACGGCGTGGGTAGTTTCAAGATGATATACACAGCCACAATGCCAATACTTTCGGAATCTTGGCTTGCATTTTCACTATAATTGTGTTTTTGTATTGGCTCCATAGTAGAGTGAAGCGCCGAGGCGGATGATATCGAGGTAAAATGTCAGAAAATGTCAGAAAATGTCTTATTCCTACAAAAAGGTTGAGGTAGAAATGTGCACCCCGGCCGAATTGGGACATGGATTCTGCATAACAATTTACAGCCGTGGGGTAATGCATCGAATCCCTCCAGTCAGATGTCGTTGAATTTCTTCAAGGGTGTTGAGGAGTCCAGTAGCTGTATACAACAAATCTAACTGATACAGTACTCCCTGGGTCCTGTCCTATCTTGTTATGATCTTCTCCAAAGATATAAAAGGTCCCTCGTTGACCCTCGATTTGATCAACCATCACCAACCATCATCAATCATCAACTCAATAAAATGCACTCCAGCGCCATCGTCCTCGGTCTCATTGGCCTTGCCAGTGCCCAGACTCTCAACATTCCCTCTCGCGTGGGCGACATCGTCTCTTTGCCTTCTCCCAGTGTGATCAAGGGCGATGTTGATCTTCGTAACGGGGAGTACGACCGTGGTCAACCCTGCGACAACGACGATGACACCGGTATGTGCACATAAAAAAGCCACGTCCAAAATAAACGAAGCTAATTGAATAGGCTCCGACAACGCCGTGTTCGTCTTGGAGGACGGAGCATCCCTGAGCAACGTGATCATTGGAGCGGACCAACTCGAGGGCATCCACTGCGAGGGATCCTGCACCCTGAAGAACGTCTGGTTCCGTGACGTCTGCGAGGTGAGTCGTCCCATTGTCTATGTGGCCATGTGTATGTATCTGGTCAAGCAAAGCTAATGTGTCTTTTATAGGACGCCATTTCCATCATCGGAACTGGAGACGCTCTCATCCAGGGCGGAGGTGCCCAGGAGGCCAAGGACAAGGTCATCCAGCACAACGGCGTCGGAACCGTCACCATTGATGGATTCACCGTTGTGAACGCCGGCAAGCTGTACCGTTCATGCGGTAACTGCAGCAACAACAAGAGCAAGAGCCCTCGCACCGTCGTGGTCAAGAACGTCCAGGCCAGTAACGTGCCTACCCTTGTTGGAATCAACTCCAACTACGGCGACCAGGCTGAGATCAGCGATACTTGTGGATCCGACGTCAAGCACGTGTGCCAGGAGTTCGAGGGTGTTGAGAAGTCCGATGACAAGGAGAGCCCCAAGCTGACTTCGACTGATTCCTGCAAGGGACAGTTGACTCTTTCTTCCTGCTAAGTTCGGGTTCCTCTTTTGATGGATTGAGAAAGGGAGGAGGCATGGATGTTGCTCACTGGCTATTAAGGAGGAAGAAGAGATAGTGAACGCTTCAGGCCATCACACCATCCCTCTCACTGGATCGAACCTCTTTCAGACTAGGTACATATGTAGCTATCAGTGTAATATAAGACGATGTGGAAATCCGTGAAACATCTCCGAATCTCTCATAAGCAGTAAACCTGTATACCATGCTTTTATCAAAATTTATATTTTAAGCATGCTTATAGAAAAGGTACGTGGAACGAATGATTTAGATCGACCCATGGAGGATCTGACTTCACTATTATTGCACAAGACCAGTCGCATTCTAGCTTGGGGATTGATATCGAGAGCCCATTTAGCTGCGAGCAAACAGAAAGGGAACGACAAGACGTGAATGAAGAAATCCCGTATGTCACAGGAGAAAATGATAGGACACGTTCGAATTAATAATAAGACCACCCAGCAAGTGTTTGTGCATTGAGAATTCAGAAACGAAAGAACAAAGCATCGCAGTAGCAACACAACAGGTCGTGGATGCACATATACTTCAATCAAAGTTTATACAGCAGCAGGGTTCCCAAGAGTCGGAAACGTGGCACCGTACAGAGATGACATCCATGTCTGGAAGCCATGGAAACGAGTATTCCCCTCACTGTTTTCATTATGAGATTCAGTAGGCGACACCTGGCTATGGGCAGTTACATATGTATCCCTCGAGCTGGTTGCCCCGAGAGAATCATCCGGCTCCTCGTGGCTGCCCGAGCAGCAGCAGCAGAAGAGGCATCTCTGAGTCTTCACCCACGCCAAAACATCCGGACAGACAGACGTGTTTGCGTGAGGATCTTCATCTGCACCGCCGCCGCACCCAGCCATTGTCAAAACTGAATGCAACCGTGATGGATTGGGAGGTACGTGGTCCCCGCTTGCCCTCGTCCCTTGAGCAGAAGATCCCGCTGGATCTGCAGGACCGTCCGATCCAGTCAGGTTGCGCGGCAAGCTGAAAAGTGCAGTGGCTCTGGGCCGCGGTCGGCGGTTTACCACAGCAGGGGCCGGGCTCGACGGAAAGGGGAAACGTCGTCTCGGTGGCCTGGCTAGAGGCTGGACATGTCTGTTTGGACTTCGCCCAAGACCACCCTTTGTCTGTGCAGCTTCAACATAAGGATCGTAGCTTGTATCTGTGGCTTCTTGGAGAGCAATGGGAAGATTGCGTTGGTGGAATGGGTGGTCATGCAGTGGTCGACCGATGTTCATTCCATGGCCGCTTTGTCGATGGGGGAACCGGCCCTGTACTAGCGTGCCATCCTCCGCTCTTCCTATACCATTAACAGAAAGCCCACCATGAGACGCAGAAGGCGGTAAGCCAAATAATCTCCTTAGTGTGTCGCCATACGAATTGCTACGCTGACCGCCAGCAGGACCACTACCTTGCGGGTTTGCAGGTGACCGTGCAATATTGTCTGGAATCATGAACTATGTAGAGACGGATACAGCCTCTGACGTGCCGAAGGAGGGAAGGCCAGGGGGTGTAGGCGTTCTTTCTGGCGGTGGATATGGAGGCTGGACGATTTTCACTGCAGGTTCCAAGTTCCCAGGCCATCTAGGCCTGCGGGTACCACGCTTGTTTGCATCAAGGGAAGCCGCCTTGCGATGTAAAGACCGACGGGGGTCTAGTACCGATGTTGTTTTACCCAAGGGAGGTCTCGACCTGTGTGTGGCTTGCCAGCACTGGTCAGATAGCAGCTTGGTGTGGTTCCCAAGCCTCCCTACCATCCTCTGCCGTCTTCCTCGCTTGGTTGGCATAGTAGTAGGGCTATGATCATCCTGTGAATCTGTGGGAACGAATCTGGCCATGTTGACCGCTAAGCCTTGCTCGTGAACGGGGTTCTCACGGAGAGACGCATAGAAACGAGGCATGGAATTGTTTGGCGTGGCGACTCTGACCGCATTGTATATAGATCGCTCATCGCTTAGGATAGACTCGGATGAGTCTGGGTTATCGTATGGTGAAATGGAGTCGGAATCGCGAGGGTGTTTTCCACGTCGGAGGCTCTGTGATGCTGAAAAATAGTGCGAATGAGGGTTATTGGACTGATCGATTCTTCGGGGAATCATCTTGAAAGAAAAAGAGCGAAAGCTTGGTAAGATTAAAATATGCTTGGAGTGTAAGTAGTAGATGAAATTACCAAAGATGATTGAGTATGTGATTTCCTCGACAATCCTCAATCCTCAAATCCTCATCGTACCTGCCGAGATCAAGTCCCCAAAAAGAAATATATATATATATTATACAAAACAGCCTATATGTACACTATTCCAATGAATATGCGCTCTAAACCCGAAAACGTTGAATGTCATAATCATAATGGAGTGCCACCTGGGCTGGGCATTGGCTTGCCAGACACCTGGGCGTGCTCCTTTCTTAGGGCTCGCAGCAATCCTTCAATTCTGCGACGCTCTTCTTGTTCGGCCTGGGAGGTGTCAGTTAGTACGAAATGAGAGAAAGGTACAATAACAACTCACCCTCAGTATCTTCATGTTCTCGTTGCGCGTGTCACGCATCATCTTCTTGAACTCATTCTTGAGCACCATAGTAGATGTCGTCTCAGAAGTACCATCGCGGCCCACAGATGTGGGACTACTCAAGTTCATCCAGCTGATACGTTCTTCCGCTAGTTGTGTCTCGAGTTGCTCACAACGATCCCGAAGACTGTCAATGAAAATTTCGAAGCGCTCGCGTTCCTTCTCAAACTCGATGCTGGCCTTCGTCATGGCTTCGTAGTCATCGATGGTCTCACGAAGTTCTCTCTCAAGAGTATCCGCCCGCTTCTGAAGGTCACCACCACCTCGTTGGCTCTTCAGAGCGGCCAGTTCTTCTGTGAGCTCGATGTTTCGAGTAACCAGAGCATCGTTCTCCCTTTGGACACTAGGGTTGGAAGTCACCTCTGCCGCACGCTCGGCTCGAGTACCATAGGCACCATCCAGCTCTGCCTTGGCCATTGTCAATTCAGTTGTCACCCGCACAATCTCGCCTTCAAGTTCAGTCAACTCGTTCTGCAGGCGAGTGACGTTGTGGTCAGACTGCGCGCGCTGATCATCCGCTTCCTTGATACGGGCATCGGATTGAATTCGGATTTGTTGGATTGCGGCTTCGAGTTGAGCCACCTCTTGCTCTGCGCGGTCACGAGCACCCCTAACTTCCTCGGACCTGGAATCAGTCTCGTTCTGCAGCGTTTCAACGACGCTCTGCAGGCGTTGGACCTCATTCTCCGCGCGATCCCGGGCTTCCTTGACGTCCTCGCCTCCAGCACTGGTGTCATTTTGCAAAGTCTCAATAACGGCATGGAGACGCTTGACTTCATCTTCCGCACGGGCGCGGGCCTCTATGGTCTCTTCCATCTTAGCGTCGGTATCGGTTTGCATTGATGCAATGACGACCCCTAGGCGCCTCACTTCGTCTTCCGCGTGATCGCGAGCCTCCCTGGCCTCTTCGCTCTTAGCGTCGGTGTCATTCTGCAAAGACGTAATAACCACCTGAAGACGCTTGGCTTCGTCTTCCGCATGGTCGCAGACCTCTCTGGCCTCTCTGACCTCTTCGCTCTTAGCGTCATTATCATTCTGCAACGATGTAATGATGGCCTGAAGACGCTTCACTTCATCTTCCGCATGGTCACGGGCCTCTCTGACCTCTTCACTCTTACCGTCATTGTCATTTTGCAATGATGCGATGACGACCCCAAGGCGCTTGACCTCGTCTTCCGCATGGCCGTGGGTCTCTCTGGCTTCTCTAAGTTCTTCACTCTTGGCGTCGTTATCATTCTGCAAAGATGTAATGACCACCTGGAGACGCTTCACTTCATCTTCCGCATGCTCGCGGGCCTCTCTGACCCCTTCGCTCTTAGCGTCGGTGTCACTTTGCAATGATGTAATGACAACTTCTAAGCGCTTGACCTCACCTTCTGCGCGGTCGCGGGCATCACTGAGTTCCTCGGCTTTGGCATCGTTGTCTCTTTGCAGATCGTCGATGTATTGTTGCAGGCGCTTAACCTCGGTCTCTGTTTGATCCTGGGCATCCCGGGCTTCTCTGATTTCGTGGGCTCTGACATCAGCCTCGCTGTGCAACGAGGTAACAACGCTTTGTAAACGCGCAACTTCGCCCTCAGCCTGAACCAGAGTCGCCTTGGCTTCTTCCTGAGAAGTGCCGTTGTGGCGCATTGCGTTGAGCTGTCCCATGACAAGAGCCAGCTCATCGCGATTGGCATTGCTTTCACGCTCAGATACTTCAAGGTCTCTGCGAACTTGAGTTAACTGTTCCGTCAGGTCGCCGATATGGGCATCGCGTTCGGCGTCCGACTTGGAGTTGAGCTCGCGCTGCTGCTGGATTTGCGTGGTGAGAATACTCTTTTGCTCAAGTACTCCATCCACTCGGCTCTCCAGGCCATCTACACCAGTCTGAAGGTATGAGAGTTGTTCTTCTAGCCCATCGCCGCGAGACGCATCAGGGGGCGGAGGCAAGGTCGGTGAACGGGTCAAACCAAACCGATCAACGATGGTTTGCACTTGGTTGTTGATTTCGGTGAGTTGGTGTTTCCAGGCGTCCTCGGCTTCAGGTGCAATACTGCGAGCAGCCGAGGGAGCAGGAACTTCTCCCGTATGCAAGACGATGTTATTCATACTACTCTCGATATAGGCCAAATGAGCGTCAACCGTTGATGTGGGATTGACGGGCCCTCCACCCCCTGACAGCTGTGGGGAGGGATCGACGAATTCACCGGGGTTGGACTGTATCATCATATCATGCATGCGTTCGCTCAGTTCCTCCAATCGTCGTTCGGTAACCTGCATAGCCTCGGTATTCATTGCGGCGGCCGCATTGGTCTCAATCTTTCCGTTCACGCCAAAGTTATCCAAATGCTCGGTTGTCCGGTAGAGACTGCGGTCGTCGAATTTCTGATCATCATAGGTGCTATCCGAAGTGGTAGGGTTCTTAGAACCCTTCTTCAGACCTTTGTGTGTCATCTGCAAAACACCCGCAGTGTGCTCCAGCAAGCGCTGGCTGATCGTCTGCGACCTTTTCTCGAGCTTCCAGAGTTCCTGCGCCAACTCCTCACATCGCCGCTGGCTGACTGCGAGTTCAGAGTCACTCTTATCGAGGGCCTCAGAGGCCCCATTGCGACCAAATATACCCCGGCTCATCCGGTTCGAGGTTGGTCCGGCATTGGCACCGTACTCGCCGCTGCTCCGCGGGCTGGGCGGGCTGTAAAGTCTACCTAGGGACTGCGCCGCGTCACGTAGTTTCGTTTCGAGCGCCAGTTTCCGCTTCGTGCCTTGAATGCGAGTGGACAGTAGTGTGACTTCCTTCTTGAGTTCTTCCACCTCCTCGAAGGATAGGACTTCGTAGTTCGTGCTATCCCCTATGGCGGTCTCGGTCAACAGGTACATGGCCACAGGGTCGTTGGCGTTCAGGAGAGCCGAGCTTCGCGGGTGAGTTGAGTTTAGCTAACAGAAATGAAGAAGCCATGGTTAGCTGGGGTCCCGGGCTGGCGTGTTTGTGTCCGTACTCACTGGGTTGTATCGCGACCGCTCCTCATGTTGGGGGTTCAGGGCATCCCGATACCCGTCCACGAGTGTCTTTCCGTGCGGTGGTACCGGAGCTGGAGCATCGGAAACGGTCATGGTCGAGAGATACCGCGGGTCCCCGTAGGAGGACTGGCTGGAGCGCATACTGATATTATTCATGGTCGTTCAATGGCCGGGGTCTCTCCGGGTAGAATGGGGTAGGAGAAATTCAGGAACAAGCGTTACGCATTATGAAATTCGGGCGCTGGGGTTTGCGATCGGGGGAGAAGAGGTAGTAGGTCCCTCTCAATTAGGAGAATAGATGTGAAGAGAGGGATTCGATGTATTTAGCGAAAGTAGAGGCTAATGTTAAATAAAAGAAAGATGGCGGGGAGCGAAGGAGAAAACATAAGATCGGCATCAACTTAGGGTTTCCGCCACAGCAATTTCTACTGCAGTATACATTTGTATGTTGTAAATGATATGTTCGATTTGAATAATTGTACACGTAGATATCTTGCGATACATACAACATAACTATGTTGTAGATGTACAACTATGGAGATTACCCCTGAATACGTATACGAGATTAGTTCCACCACTTTCTTTGTCTCAAGAGATGATTCGTTTATAGAGAATCCACTATATTGTAGAAACACATTCCAATGTATACCTACAACATACTGTACAAGATTCAACAGTTATAAGATAAATCAACATATGGCGACCTAAGACCTCACATGGTTCAACTATCAACCCCGCTGTGTACTACCTAAAAGTACTTGATAGTACTTCTGTAATGCAACGTCGCAGTAGGGCTGATCAAGTACCGCCAAGTACCCCGGTTGCGTGTACCTCGGATCCCCAGAGTAACATCAGAAAGGCCAAGAGACTAAAAAGATGTGAGCTGCCACTTTGCTTTCATTTTCTTATAGAGGCCCGCACAGAATGCATTTGCTCTGTCACACTTCACTGTGGACATGTCGACTCTTGAGCGCTCTCCAGATGCAGAGCAGGGCTCTCGACCTATCTACAAGGTCTATAAGCGACGCTTCTGGGGTTTGGCCCAGCTGGTATTGCTGAATATCGTCGTTAGTTGGGATGTATGCGCTTCGCTTCTTTTTGCTTTTCGATTAATCCATATATCGCTTTACATGTGCGCTGACTTTTGTATATAGTGGTTAACCTTCTCGTCCATCTCGACAACAGCCGCCGAGTACTTCGATGTCTCGGAGAGCGCTATTAACTGGATGAGCACTGGCTATCTCTTTGCCTTCTGTGCTGTTAGCCCGTAAGTATGCATGAATCGCTATATTGAAAAGAAAGATAAGGGAAAAAAACCCCCCGCTCGAAGTATCCCATTCACTAACCAAATTCCCAGCATCGTTATCTGGATCTTGAACAAAGGCGGCCCCAAGCCAGCTATAATCATCACCGCCACACTCCTACTAGTTGGTAATTGGCTTAGATATGCCGGCACAAGAGCAAACGGCGGCATTTTCGGGCTCGCAATGTTCGGCCAGATCCTCATAGGATTTGCGCAGCCCTTCTGCCTC